GAGATAAGAAAAAGAAAGACAAGATAGCAAACGCAAATAAAGCAGGTGAATAAGGAAAGGGGTCAAGGGATGTGAATAGCAGAATTAGAATTCTAATGGCACATGAAGGCCAATCATTATATTTATTATCATTTTTTACATTAAGATTCAGCAATAATAACTCGCAGCTGATAATCATTGCTGGTCTAAATGGAATCAATCGGGAAGCCGCCTGTTGGACCACTCTGGTCAAGTGGAATCGCACATGGGTTGTATCTCGGTAGAATATGCGTCTGGAAGGAGACAATGTCGGTGGCGTGGAAGTAGATATTTTTAATCGACGACGCCGTCCTTTCGACTCTGGTTCGGAGCAGTAGAGTGTGAGTCGGTTCGACCTCGAAATCATTGCCTCTGGATTTCTTTTGGAATATAATCATGAACCTAGGATGCCGCTCTGCGTTTGCTTCGATTCCAATATCATTCGGTTGCAAATAGGTATGGGCTCTTTGTTGGCAACCCAATGACATGTCAGAAAGTGACGTTCCTCGACATCTAAGGGAGATCTTCAAAATGCACATTCATCGCTCCCATAATGTACTTTGACTTGCAATACCGTTTTACGTGAAACAACTTTTCGAAATGAAGTATATGCTAGGGATATATACTTTTCGTTGAATGTGGATGACAGGTCGATAGGAACCGGATTTGGAATTTTGTGGGTATCGCTTCAGCTGGTGGTTTTCAGGCTTAAGGGACATTCTCCTTGTTAAAATCCACCTTGGTGATGAACGTTTGGTGAGGAACATTTCTGCACTAAAATTCTGGACTGATGTAGTCTGGTGGTATTTCAATGTTTGACAATATAATTCCATGGAATTCATTCACCTTCCGTGAAGGTTTCAAAACATAAAATCCTCTTATTTCGACTTTTTAAAGTATCCTTTCCATCTAAACCAAAGTATGAAACAAAAGGAGCGCTTACGAGCGAACTTGGGTTGGTTTCCGTAGCGTTCCTTCGCAAGGGAAATTCTTCATGAGGTGGATGAGATGATTCATAGCGTCTTGCAGTCAGCTGTTCCACCCCTTCCCATAAAGGGGACGAATTTCTTTGGGCCATGAGGACGAGGTCTCTCCTTTTCCGGCTACTAAAGCAGTGGATGAAAGGAATGACGTGCAAGTCTCTCAAAACTTGGAAGTAAACCGGTCATTGATGCACTCCATCTTTTGTCTATGAAAAAAATTTACAAATAACCACTGAAATGGAACACCGAAATAAAACCACTAAAAAACACAAAATACGGGATATTGTTTCTCCAAAATCATGCGTTTAAAATAAAAGATTCGTAACGGAACTGAAAAAGTTCTGCTAGTGGGAAATGTTAAACCTGGGATGGGCTCACACTTGCCGGGCCTATGACTAACTGATATCGTGATGGAATGTTAGATACGTTATCTTATCCTCCTAAGTTTACTGAGTGGTAAACATACCAACTAATAGGACATTTCCGATTAAAGCAAAGGAAACTGAGTTTCGGCATAATGCGCTGAAAAGGAAACTCGCTCCATTGCGGAAACCACGAGTCCTATTTTTGACACTAAAGCATCCTGTTCCAGAAAACCTCGGAATCGATATTTACAAATGAAGAGCGTAATGGAGTTTTCCTCTCATTGTACTGCGTATTCTGACTAATCGTCGGAATTGATTTTTTCCGGCAATGCAAGTCTCTGTCTCATTCAAGGATTCCTTTATTGTGTCCATTATTCGCAAACATCTCCCTTCCACTCAATATATTGCGGGGAAAATCTAATTTCATTACAATTTCGTCCTGTCGGTATTCATCCGTGAGCCTTTGGTGCATCGCTATCATAGGAAAGCAGCATGTACTGTTCACTCGTGCGATGTTTCAGTACCTTTTCTCCACTGCTTTAGAAAAAAAGACAACTCATTCTCGCTTCTCTCTCTTCTGAAAGAGAGGTGGTAAAGGGAGGACGAGGGAATCATACGATTCTAGTGCGCCGGCACTTTTCCTTGTCTCTAAGGTGTGGGTCGCTGCCACTCAGGAAATGCAGATAAAATACGTGAAGTAGGACACGCATCGTTTCAAAGCAGTTCTTTCCCAGACGAGGACAAGAATTTCATGTTCTTCATGAATGCAATTGGGAAATGCACATGAAATTACCATTCTTTCTTGGGATTCAAGCTGTTTCCTGAAGCGGGTTGACGTCATATTCCTGAGGATTCGGCGGCGGCGAGTGGAAGTCCTCTCATGAAAGTGTCGATTCAGAAAGGTGTGGAGATTTTCCTCATTTTTCAAAACAGGCTTTTCAGACGCGAAAGTGGAAATGGATCTTTCGCTTTCATTTCTGATTTTGAGTCTAGATTCCTTTAGCAATACTATTTCAGGAAAATGAGAATTTTTCCGAAAAGAAGGGAGATGAGAATACAGAATAAATCCATGAAAATTGTTCAAACATCAGGGAAAATCCAAGTTTACATGCTCTGAGTCGGAAATTTTGCTTCGAAGATTCGGAAAGTTACCAACAATTTGTATAATGTTTAGTCCATATAATATGGTAGTGCAATGAATTTGCACAATATAACTATTTTCAGTTATTTTCAAAGTCACGATCGCATGACCACTGAAATTTACTCCTCCCCCTTCCCCACCCCATCTACTCACTTTGTCTTCTATGTACTCCTCTCCTGTTTCCAACTGTTTGTTGCCTCCGACTAGATCGATAGGCATGTAAGTCTTCCGCCAGACTCCTAATGTCACCCCTCATATCTGTGCGAGATGTAGTGGAGATTGTGCATCTAGGGTGGGAATATTCATTGGCATTCGAATTTAATATCTCCTGACCAAATCTATTACATGATAGAAGAACTGACCACTACAATGCTTAATTCTCATAATTCATTTCATAGACAGCGCTTGGGTTCTATTAAATGTTAATCATCGGTGCTTTTCAGATGCTTGAGTGATTCTTGGTCATGAAATGCGCAAGTCTCTAATATTCCTTGCCTGTGCAACTGTTTGTATGTGTAAAATAAACTCCAAAGTTATACGAGTTAGTAGTTAATCACAATTATATATTTAAAGGCCTCAGCATACAGCTTCTGTGGCTTCCGGTATTTTCTAAACTTAATATACGTTTGTTAATAAGAAGAGTCCTTTGGGGCTTCCTCTGTACTACATCGTTATTCACTTTGTTGCGTAATAAGCTGTTGAATAAAAATTTCACTGAATGAATGCTTTAAAGGAAAGGGTGGGTTGAGAGAGCTCTAACGGAACACTTTCGCATAGGAATGAAAACGTTGATAATTTTCTTATCTCTCCGTCCTGTTCTTGATAAAAGTACCGCAGTGAGTACCTTCATGAGAAGTACCTTCATGACCGCCATCATGTTAATTTAGGGATGTCCGCATGAGATATTCCTGTATTCCACCAAATCGATCGGTCACTGCTATTTCCGTTCGTGTATTTATGAATCTCACATAACTAAAACATGATATCCGGCAACACGGGACGGGATCAGAACAAGCGCGCCAAGCCTAAATAGACTTGTATATCTAATTTCGTATTTTATGGCAAAATGGTGCATTGCAAGCAACGAAAAGGCCTTCTTTCCTTATTTACAATTCATTTTTTTCCTCATGGTTGGTCTTTCCTCGAAAGCGTCCTAGGAGTGGCTACTCGGGAGGGGGAATGAAATTCATCGAATGAAATTCACATCTCCTAAAAGCCAAATATATATGTACGATCGTGAGTAGCTGACTGACTGACATAAGTAGCAATTCGCATGCTGATTTCAGGAAAAGTTCTACATTGGTGATGCATGCCATAAGGGCACACCTTTCGGGGAACACATTTTCAAATAGTTCTCTTTGCTTCAAACGGAGACACATGGAAAGCTGATACTTGGCAAGAACGTGACCGTTGACACACTGACCTCAAATGTCAAACGTCAAATTTCCAAAATATTTTTGGGGTTCATATTTCTTCGGGACGTAACGTTTTCAAATAATTTTTCATATCCTACCGAATCACGCAGAAGTAGAAAAATAGCAGGTGGCAGACGCATAACGGACGTAATGCTGATTAAAGGAAAAATTCAACTTTTTTGTGCGTCTCCTCAGAGCACAGCTTTTGGGTGGGTCGCTCTTCCAAATGCATTTTTTTCCGCCAGCAAAAAGGGGAAACGTATAAGGCTAAAACTGGATGGCATGGAGTTCCCTGAGCCGACATTTTAAAAATTTTCGTTAAAACCCATCAGGACATATTTTTTTCAGACCAATTTTCCTGAATTTCTTTTGATTCAACGAAACAGAGACAAAAAATATAATCTTCCCTCAGAAGTATCTGTTTAATGGCTGAGTACAGGAAAAATTCTACTTTTGAAATGTCTCCTTAGCATAGATTATTGAAGGGAAGTATTCTCCACCCTTACAAAAAGGGATAAAAGAAAATATTTAAAGTTAGGCACGCATAGATTCATAGAAGTAATGATTTTGATAAATGATTTTGCCCGAAGGGCAAACAAACTCGCTAGTATGATATGCATGTATATCTTAAGCTCAAACAAGTTATAATGAATTTATCAGGGTTCCTCAGTAAAGGGACAGCGTACCACTCTGTTAAAAACGCGGCTGAACCCTGGAGGTTAAAGTAATTTTTTCGTGTGCTTCACAGGTGAACCCACAATATTTTCATGTCATCCGTATGTTTGTGTAATGACACATGATTTCCTATATATTGAGAAAGAAGTATTAGAAAGTTGATTAACATCAGATATTAAGATCACTTGATTAAAAGCTTCTTGGTTTCATTGTTTAAGAATACCCCTCCATGTTAGAGTTCTAAGATAAAATATGATTACCTCTTCAAACAATCTTTTTTCTCGAAAAGCCTATCATGTGTAGCGGAATGGCTTCAACAGGTGGTATGAAATACTGGATCAAGTACAAATATACTATTAAACATTGAAAAAGAAATCATTGCCAAAAAATGAAAATGCATGCCTTTGAGGAATGTACAGCGTCATTTATCTCAAAGTTCAATTTGAAATTGCTTCACTCTCTGGATGGCAATAATCGAGAGAATGACAACTTTGGATTTGTGCGTAACAATAATGGCGGTTTTCCAGTTCCAGTTCCATAGACGGGGAAAATACTTGGACAGGGAGACAATTAACCATGAAAATGTCAGTAGATATATTCATGCTGAGGATGATAATCACACGAGAGGGAAACTGGCTTCAGTCGCCACACCGCATTGGTTGCCTTGGTTACGAGCCATCCTCACATAGCCGTTTTCCCCCCAGCTTTTTCCCCACGAATTCTTCACAAGCCAGTATGGTATTCCAGTCTCCTCGTCCACGCCATAACCAACAGCAAGCACTCCGTGGTTCATCGTCTTGTTAGAGCAATTGGGCTCAATGTAAATGCCTGTTAATGGAAGAATGGAAAGAACTGCAGTGTCGTAGAACCTAATTGGACCATGAAGGAAATAAGAAAAAGAGGTGCTAAATCAAGTCTCATCTTCAAAATCAAAGCATATTTCCTTGTATTAAAGAAAATAGTCAGGATCCTCTTCCCTGAAAAATTGGTATGAATTGGCAAATAATAACCCACATGGAATAAAAACGATAAATACATCACTACTGCCAAAACAATCAAAAGGTAGCCAAACTTGAGAATGCAAAATACAGTATATCCACGGTGGACGAAAAAAACAAAGTTGTTATTTATTAATAGCTTTCAATTATATATGTTAATATGGGATATATGTCCAGGCATCTATTGAATAATTTGCTATACAGGGCGGCCCAAAAGTCGCGCCCCGTATCATGTTTTAGTTATGTGAGATTCATGAATACATGAACGGAGATTGCAGTGGCCGTTCGATTTGGTGGAATACGGGAATATCTCATGCGGACATCTCTAAATTAACATGATGGCGGTCAGATCGTATGTCGTGTCTTCTAAAAGCATTTTATTCTCGGATAGAGTCGAGACGGTATGAGAAACTATGGATAGGCTGCATGTTCCCCGACTGCAGTGGTTCATGAAACTAAAAAAGGCCTATAACCTGTCTAACGTTACACGTCCTCGACGAGGTGTCTAGATGAAGATTGATCAATCCCTTTAGGCCTAATTGGTCCGCTGGTAGAGGATTGAGTTTCTTTCGAATGAAAAGAGGTAGGCCTATGCCTGCCCCGAAGACAGTCCGCCGGTAAGGCATAGGCCTAATGCTGATGAGTTCCGTAGAGAAGGGAAGAAGGGGGAGGGGGGGGGTGAAGTCGAGGTTGAGGTTGAGTTTGAAGAAATGAGAAATCGTTGAAAATTTTTAGTCATATCACTACGTACAGAAATAGCTGTTAGATTGCTGATTCCGAATATTTTCAACTTTTGAGGTACATACCCATTAGGGACAATTTGGGGCGACTGATTTTTTAGGTCTTGGTCTAACCGAGGAACGGAGGGTTAGGCCAAAGGCCCCCATCACAGCCCAAGTATCAAGACGAGGGAGAAGAGCGCTAAACTCCCGCGCTCCTAGATTTCCTCGAGTTCTTCGTGAACGTTTTCAAGGGAGAGAAGGTATTGCATGCCGTCACAAAGGACAACGTCATTCTGCAATTCTGGATCAGTTTTGAACGATGGAAACCACACGACGAAACTTGCAGTGATGGGTTTTTCTAACGGAGCTCTTATGAACGCAAGTGGTGATGAAATCATGAATATGAGCAGGTAACATGAGCCCCGCGTTTCATCAAGTACGTTTTAAATTTCTCTATTCACGGTAGCATGCGGTAGGTACTGCGGTCGGGGGTGACACTGTTCCTTGAAGAGTCCCGCGCCAACTCTCGTCTCCTTTTACATCCTGAAGATGGCGAGACGAGGACATAACATCGATTTTCTGTTGATGTGTCATCCTTTCTTGTGGCGTATCTTTAAATTTCTGTCACGATGGCAGAGCCTTGGACGGTAAGGAATATGACGATAAGGAACTCTCACGCGCACACCCGCGAACAAACGTTTTTCGTTCTGCCTAGGTAGCGGCCAGTATCCCCCACGCTATGTCTGTAACCTCCGGACCTCGGTTCTTCGTTTTAAATTGCAAACATATAATCGCAAGGCATCCAACATTCATTTTCAATCTAATCTACTTTCTCACTAATTCAGAATCAGGGATACTGAATACCGTAAGCATACATTTAAGAAATTGGCGTTCATCAAAGGCTTTTGAGGGAGAGATTAATCTTGTGAACCTCAAGATGAATGCCGGAATAGTCGTCCTTGTATAATGAATGGGTTTTTTTTTCATGTGATAGGGCATGACGTAGAGGCAACATAATTGGGCGGATAACATGCATAAACAGGGCAGGAAATACGCGAAGAGGGGCGCGTATACGGTGGGAACATTACTTCCTAGAATATCACCGAAAACAGCATAATATCCATATTGCAAATATTATCATTAGGGATGCTAATTGCCCGTACATTTAAGGCAAGCGTTTCAATGGATAGATGCACGGACTGCAGCGCAAAACTTCCTCCTGAGGTTTCACGTCATACGAAGTGCAGATATTTCCTACCTTCGTGATAGCTAAAGAAGGATTGATGTCCGGCATCGATGGCAATGGAAATAGGCCCGACGCTAGCAACAGCTTTTTGCAGTGTATCCTCGTCCCCTTTCGGCAGCACTACATATCCCGTGACATTTGCCCCTTGCGTTGAGGGATTGTAGCGGCATATGCCATCCTGTAACGATCATCAACAGTCCTACAACACGTGAAGAATTTCGAGACAGTTTGCGAATGTGTTTCGGTCGCAGTATCTCCGTACTACTTAAAAAACTGATTCATGCATTCAGAAATCGGTGAGTAAAGAACCGACATCTAAGGCGTGAGGCAATTTAGCTAAGAAATAAACGTTGCTGGCAATTTCATGATGTGATTCTCTCGTTCATATCGTTAATTTATTTTGTCACAACAACCATGTGGGTAATATGCGTAATATATTTTACTCATAGCCACACTGTTAATATTACACATAGGATATAATGTGAGAATTATATCATGGTATTCTTGAAAGAAAAGGTGAATCTGTGGTAAGTAATACCCTGTAGATGAAAAAGGTAAATCACAGGTGAAAATTAAATGTAAAAACCAGGTAATAATAGCGCCAAGGGGGAACTGTAAAATTGAGGTAAACGCAGTGAATGAGAGGGTATCGCTTAAATTGGGAAGATGGAACAGGCGGAAAACAGGAAAATTCCCTCATTATTACCGTATTTTTACTATCTCAATTTTACTACAGGTGAAAATACTTTGTAATGGCTTAAATCCCATGAGAAATCTAAGTCAAGTCACACATTTTATTACATTGATATGTTTTTCATTAATGTCCCATGACGTAACTACCTTCATACATTCCCGTGACACAAATATTACAAGTATTCAACCCCAACCAGAATGGAAACATTAAGGCAAAGGAGCCCAGCAATTGTTGTGAAACTTAGTGCAGAAGTACGTCCCAATATACAGTATTCAATTGATTAAAGTTTAAAAAGTGGTCCGAGATGATTCTTTAGTATAAGGCTTATCTGAAGCCCCATGAGTGAAGCACTTTAAGCTGGTCAGGTTTGCAGCATAAATATAACGTAATCCACAAATTGAATCCAACAGAACCAATAACATGTTTATAATGAAAAAAACAAAACCGTAAAAAAGATGGAAATTGTCTCCAAGAAAATAGCTTGAAACTCACCTTCCCTTCATAGGGGTAACTCTCCTCTGTGTCGATCCCATCCTTGTCTCTGATGTATTGAAATGCCAATTGCATCCATCCACCACTGCAGCCATGGTTAAAATTCTTAGAGCAGTCGATGAGGTTCTGTTCACTAAGGGAAACCAGGTTTCCTGTCTTTCGGAAATGCAACCCCTCCACTGACCCGGTCTGCAGAAAACCATCACAAAGCATGAAACAATAACACCATGTCCGAAGATATAATGGGTCACTGCATCCGTACTGTTAAAACAAGATTAATTCTTGAAAAAGAAGTTTCAATACTATTCCTGGCGTTCCTTTTATTCTGATACTTTATTTTATTGGTAGGTCAAGAACTGCAAACTATCAACATATCATGTAAATCAGGAAGACATTAAGGGATATACGAAACAAATACAAGTTTGTGCGCCCAAGCATTAGTGTTGACGTTTCTGCTCGATGATATTACACCCTTGATATCCCCTGGCAATCGTTTGGTAACCATCCTTTCCCGTGTTCGGATAATTATATGTCAATACAATGAGGATAAGTTAATGGCTTCGGAATAAATAACTTCACAATTTTTCCCTTCTCACTCAATTTCATAGGTTGTCTGCATTAATAAAATGTAGGCGATTGCATGCTGTACATCAATCACTTAACCCTTATCCTGGCAACGGGAGTCCTTTAAACTACCACAGCATACCATATTGAATTATTCTCTGGCAATTTTTTTGCATACAATTTCTACAAATTTTACTTTGCTTTATGGATATAAGGACCCAAAAACTATTTGTAAAATTGTGTAGTACTTTTTAGGAAAAAATTGGTACTATCTTTGCCCTTGTCTGTTTTCGTGCCGGATGAGGGCTTAACGCTCAGAAGTTTTCATTCTTTCGCTCCATCAATTTTGCCTCAAGTGATTTTACGATTACAACTTGAGGAAAATGGGTGAACAAAATCGGTGAGCACCCCTTTTTAGGGGGGGGGGGTGGGAAGCGTGAGATGGGCTAAAGACTTCTACAAACTGGTTCTCAGACATTCCCTAGTTTACTCGACTGCCCTAAAACTCAGCGGCCCTCTCAACGATATAAGCAGCAGCCGCTCTATCCCGTCCTCGAGCATGACCTGTGGAAAACTTCCAAGAAAGAATGTCACGAATGTCGGCCGGAGCTATGCGTGTAGCATTTTCGGGTACTCACGAGTTCAGTCAGCAGCCAAATCAACGCTCTACGCAGCAGCCGCTCGGATATTGTACGTCTTGCGCATCCCCCCCCTCCCCCTTACCCACGGGGGTGTTCACGCCTACGATACAAACTTTTCATGAGCAGCACTCTTATTCCGTATCGATCGCGATCCTGTGCGTACTGTCCGTAAAGTAAAGGCGGCGTCTTTCCTATCCAAGGGTAAGCGTTCACGTTCTATCCCATCCAAATGGAGTGCTGCCGCTCTCATCTTTGGAAGTCATTCCCCTTATGAGTGCTGATCAATACGGAGACAGAGTTCCGATCGATGAAGGAGCCGAGATCTTATCCCGGCTAGGAAATCATCCAGTGGGATGAAAGGGGACTCCAAGTGTTACAAGTGAGGACGTTTTACATGTCCGCATCGAGGTGTGAACACCCGCCCCCCCTCCCCAAGCGGCAGCGAGGGGGGGGATGCGCAAGACGTATAATTCCTCTCCTTCCCTTTCTCGAGAATGGATCCGACAGCCTCAATAGCCGGAGGGAAAGTGGAAGCTCGAGAGAGCGAGACAGACACCCAGAGCCAGGCTGAAGAAGGCGTATACGGACATGGGCGGATATGCAGACGCCCAAGTACGAGTATAATACATATATAGATCATTACTGTATATCTTCCAAGAAGTGCATAAGCTCGCCCTGATATTCAATATTTAATGCGCAGAATATGATGTGAAGATCTGCCAGCACAGAAATAAAATATTCTGTATAGTTAATGTGCCATGCATCCAGGAAAGACAAGAAAACTCACAGCACTGAATGCCCAACATGAGCCGCAGTGACCTTGGTCTTTGACCGGAGTGACAGCACCTCTCGTTCGCCAATCCATTTCTGCCGGAGGATTCGTATGGAGTGGTTCAATCCAAGATGAAGGAACAAGGGACCCAGATCTGTCCGACGATTCCGTCTCCCCAAGATACCCAGTCATTTTCTCCATAAATTCATGAAGTAGCTGCGAACAGGTTAATGCACAGATGTAAGAGGACTCGCTCCTTAATAATGTTAACATTTCAGGAAACGATTTTAATGTAACTAGTAACACATCACAAGCCAATTGAATTAATGGTAACAGCCTCGGCTCTTTCTGAAACACCACTTACATAGGCAGAGGAATCTCACAATATCTCAACAGGACACGTATGGTTTCTTCAGAATAACCTTTAAAAATGCAAACGTTATATTGCTAAAAAAAATGCCACAACATTTATTTTCAAAAATAGCTTAGACAACGTCGTGATGTTGTTCATCGTGTTCAAACGTAGTTTTGTCAATAGCCGGTAACGGAAGAATGCTCAAGCCCAGTAGAGCTAGAGCAGAGTTCCGTTATTGCTCAATACTTATGCCTCCCAAACTTGAACTATATATTTATGTTTAACTCGTCACCTCCACGCCATGGATAAATTCATACCGGAATAGTCAATTTTTGATAGATTTGTCGACTCATCATTTGGGATTCATTCGCATTATATGCCTCCCAAACTTGAACTATATATTTATGTTTAACTCGTCACCTCCACGCCATGGATAAATTCATACCGGAATAGTCAATTTTTGATAGATTTGTCGACTCATCATGTGGGATTCATTCGCATTGGTGAGTACGGAGTTGTTCAATGCCTAATGTAAATTTCGAGCATGTAGTATCCCCATACCATACCCATATTTAAGGTGAGGAATAAGTATAATCCTTCCAAATTGCATTTACACATACTTTTCTCAGTACGAACTCATACTCACGTAAATTTAAGGTCCGTAATAGGCACTACATCCCGCGTGCATCCAACGTTGCCCATGCAATTTGTTTTATCTAGATTGGTTACATTTTCAGCACGTCACATCCAACCCTCTCCTGTCACATCCGACACTGTCACAAAATAGGATCTCTTTCTGTTTCAAGTGTGGTAATCCTGGGGTGACTTACCCTAATTTCAGCCTTTCATTCATTACCTAGGATGAACATGAAACTAAATTATTAGGGTCCAATAGATGACAGATATATGAACATTAGAGCAGGTGACTTTAACTTGAGTGTGCACAATGTCACGTCTGACACTTTTCTTTGCACATAGGAACACCTCTAACAAAAGAGAGAGTGGAAGACTTTGGAATATAGAATTTTCAGTCACTACCCAAAAGAAAATTGCTTCAGCCTTAATTTGCTGATTTGTCATTTATCAATATAATATAGTTAATTTAATTGTGTATGCTAAATATCTCTGGTAGCACGTAACATTGTATCAACATTGATTCAATGTTCACACAACATATGGATGCTGAGTCAACATTGAAGCAGTGAAACACTCCAGTGTTTTTGGAACTGTAGTCCTATTGCCAAAAATAAAAATATATTATTGGTGGTCAACCTATTATGATGGTTAATACAATCATTAGATTTAACCCTTCACTGAATGGTGCGCTAGATAAAACATACACTGTGTTTTGCATTGAAACGCATTAAAATACTCCGGACAAATCATAATGAAATGTTATTATTACTATTCTTCTCATCAACAATATGAAAAAGATCGTCCAAAATCTTTATGGTACATTCAAACAAAACCTGCATTGTTGGGTTAAACTCAGGTAATACTCGGACAGTACAATTAACCTCTGCCGCAATGATATGAGCTGGAAGATGGAGAACTTACTAGATCGGAATATTTGTTGAGGGCTACAGAGAAAGTCGTCGCTCCTCGGGCAAACATCTGATTATGTTCTGCGACATAGTGCCTATTCTCCAAATAGACATTCATGCGGAATTGTTCCTCTTCCTCGCTCGCATATTTCTTGTCATGCTCAAGCTGGAGATTTGATAATATTGAAATATATATATTGAAAGCAAACAGTCAATAACCAGAATGATAACACATCGTGTAATTTAAATTGTTCGAAGCATCAAATTCAAACCGATATGAAGAAGCGGGACCGATGCATAAATGGAATACAAATCGTGCCACATTCAATCCATTTTTTAACCTGAGCCATGCGTAACAAAAGTCGTAATTCACAGCATAAGACAGATGCGTTTGACATGAATATGATCAGTAATAAAGGATGTCGATAACAATAGGGAGTGTGCCCTTCCCTCAACGTGTCCCTCAAACGCGCATTCATTGAAGTAAGATAACCAATCGTTTTTCCTTTCTTTTACATTCTTTCCTGTATTGCAAAAAATGGTATCCAATGTTGGTATCCTCTGACAAGTTTAACGCTCATGTATGACCTTTCACATTCAGCGTATATCTAATTCCCATATTACGTTACTTTTTAACCGATTTTTTTCCTTTCGCAAGCAATTGCTGCCTAGCAAGCTTTAGGAGAGTAAATTTAAGGAGCCTTCCCGCAATTTTTATGCGGGTCTCTTTGTATCCCTCCTTCTCTTGCAAAAAAGGTGTACCATAGGCAATAATGGATCTGTATTAACATAGGTCAACGTATGTCATAATACAAGGGCTATGTAAGCTTATGAGGGGGTCAATATGGGCTAACATTGGTTAACGAAGATTAATGAAGGAATCAAAGAAGAATCCACTTTCCATTGTAATCTATGGTAACTAAAAAGTAAACATCTGGTCATTTTCTAAAAGATTTGTGGGTACGTTCGAATATGGGCTAACATTGGTTAACGAAGATTAATGAAGGAATCAAAGAAGAATCCACTTTCCATTGTAATCTATGGTAACTAAAAAGTAAACATCTGGTCATTTTCTAAAAGATTTGTGGGTACGTTCGCGAATTGTCTGTTCGGTCGTTTCTTCCTTCACCAATGATTTTCGTTATGGGATTTTTATTGGCAGCAGAAACATAGCCGTTTTCGTCTTTTCGTACACATCTTTGAGCAGAAATAGGATTTAATGTGATGAACTCATTGGGTGACCATATGAAAAAACATTATGAGAGCTTGTATTCAAGTCTTTGAGAACCTTTGACAGATTTTGCTCAGATTTTGCTGTTCAAAGAGAACCAAGGTCGCCTAAACTTTTCTCAATCCAATTAAGAGGGCGCCAATCGTTAATGAAGATTCACCCATTTGCTGAAGCAAAATGAGGAGCGGGACTTAATCTGAAGTATATTGGCAGTTGATGGATCATACAATTACACTGAAAATATCCCAATTCCCAGGGTTCTTTCACCAAAACAAGAAGTAGCGGAAAAGGTCTGCCGCGCAGGCACGACTAGTGCCATGTGAGGTATTAATTGTAGCACTTAAATAAACTACAATAGCAAAATTTCCATATTACCCATACATGCCACGAGAAAACCGAATTAGTAGATTTCCAGTTCTGCTATGGAGATAAGTAGGTTAAGGTCCGAGAAGACTACATAGAGGGCGGATGCACGTAAGTATGGTCCAATGCACAGGTAGCATTGCAAATTACGTAATGAGTGCATTTGACTGACCATGTATTCCCTGTGTTTGTGCGATGATACTATCATGCGTCAGAAACGTTACGTTTTGCAACCAAATAACGTCTATTTTTAACCTCCTTTACTGTATACAATGTAAATAAACCATTTGCAAATTCAGGGTGCCAAAGGCAGACTTAGGAGCATGCCAGAGAAGGGGAAATTATTTTGAGTAGATCAGCTTAGTTAGAATCAGTAACTGATGAATAAATGGTACATGGAATTACCAATCCTTGCTATACCAATACGACACATTATGTAGATGTTTGGGAAGCCTTAAAATGCAATTGGCAGATTCATTTTTTACCATTATTTCTCGATCGACCATCAGCGATTTCTCTAAACTTTTGCATGGAATTAGCGTTTGGCCGAAATACATGCAATTATATTGTATTGTCGTATATATAATGTTAAAATATATAATTTAGTATATATATTTTTTTATCATTTCAGGTTATGGGCATCAAACTATAATAAGTGGCGTGCTTCCCATTGAAACCAAACAAGCGCTTTCTCGGTTACCCCAACGACCATAATGCACTTTTCAAGAAGAAAATTTCCTTAACCCGTCCAGAAACCGGTGCCTTTACCCTACCTATACTTACAGAGGAAAACGAAGATAATGCTCGTCCCTTGTCGAACTCAGCAATTATGTGCACTATTCGAGGCAAGTCCAGCATCAAATCATTTTCTGGGAATGCTCAGGGAATGGCTAGACAGAGGGCCATATTCATTAGACGCTCACCTTGAAAGTCTCCCATTCTTCCAAAATAAGGTTTTCAAACGACATTCCAACTGCAACTTGGATACCGAATCCCAGAGCTAGAAAAGTTAGGATGTGCATGTTTACACCAAAGGAAGAATCACTTTCCAAGAAATATGTATATCTGTAGTTGGAGCTCGGTTCAATCGAATCAGTTCCAACAACGATTGAAACAATTTCAACAGATCGGGAAACCTGAATTCAGAGAAACAACAATACTATTGAAACCCTGAATTGGTGGAGTATCGTATCCCTATATGCCAACTAGGCTCATGCAGAACTCCCATTTGTACACGCACAGACCCGCCTTCTATTTTCTTAACCACGTTTTCCGCTCGGTGAATTTCATGTCGTGATGAGATGAATATAACATTTTTAGCTAGTGACCGTTCTGTCTCCCCTCATCGAGTGTTTCTCATATTTTGTAAGTAAACTTCTCGGTGTCTAAATATATTCTACGTATGATAATATACTCCAAGTACGTTTTGTTTTATGTAGTTATTGATCAGATGGTTTCGGACATGTAAATACTTCTCGTAGCAAACTACAAAAAATAATTATGCTTAATAGTTCACGTTCTCAGAGCGAAAAGAGGACTATTGCATGCGACTGTGCGACAGACATACATTTAAACTTTATTGGGAACCATATTATACCAGCAACGGGTTTGCTTTCTCTATCCCCTTCCACCTCCTCACGACGCGGGCATCTAGTTAGCTGACCAATCCCTGGTCGTGCCCCGAATAATACAAAGATCATTATGAGTACCAACGTCTAGACATGGAGACAGATCAGGGTCTAATTTCCCAACTCTTCCAAAAAGTGACCAAACTTGATGAGCGTTGGCAAAAAGTCACAGTTCTCTGAACGGGCTCGCGCGTTCTCCCCAAGCTCGTCGCAAAAACAGATTCAAGGGAAATGTTGGTGTTCAGCACATGCCGTAATCCAAGCAGGTCACAACCTTAATGCAGTGCCCCTGACATGCTGTCAACGCTTTTTTGGTATTTTGCTGACATGTTAATGGCAGGCAGGGAATCTTGCATTTTTGTAAGATATGACTCCGGTGGAATCAGCTTGAAGTTATTGAAGGTGTACCATGGTGAGGATGATTATCTTGACGATTCTAGAGGAGAAGTTACCTTTCTTTAACGTCTGCCCTGTATGATAACCCTGGACACGCTGATAAATCCGTCTTGCAGAGAATTTAAAATTCTCTGTATCAATAATTATCAGTTCATATCCGTCTTAGGCGAAACAAGCGAATATTGAAATACTAGGATAGAGAAGCGAGACGAAGCACCGTAGTCTTCTTTTTTTTTTCTCCGATAATCTATTCGCGACTCATTCTACAACCCGGGGATGAGATAACCCCATATCGGATAGTCAAGCATGATGAACATCTGCAGCACCATGCGCCACGTTTGTCCAGCGGATTTCCCCTATTTCAGTCATGTGACAGAACTCATATTCGTACGCGCAGTCAGTTTTGTCATGGAGGTATGGGAGCGATATCTATTTAATAAAATCCACTGTGGTCCGTGGTGGCGGCGGCGGAGGCGGTCCGTGGCCTGTGGCATGAGCGCGCACGCATGACACGCTTGCGCTCAGCGCGATCGCGTGTGCTCTCCCCATGGAATTTTCTGCCTCCCACTGGATGTACGTCTCCCTCTCTCGGCTCGTTTTATTTTTCCTGCCGTTGCCACTGTCGGATCTATTCTAGCGTCAGAGCCGCCGGGGGGGGGGGGAGAAAAGTTCGGATGACATAAGAGGACAAAAAGGAAATTATGGAAAAGACAGGATTTGAATCCAGGATATCCTGATTTCCGATCGAGTGTGCTACCACTACACCACCGCACTCACCTTCTTGTCATGCCATCCCTAACCTTACAACCGGAGAGATACTCCTTGCCACATGTTGGCATGAGTCCCAATTATGTTGTAATTTACGAAACTGAAACAACGGCTCACTTCATGTTTTAATGCTGTGATTCAAGAAATCCCCTCTGACAAAGAGGCGAGCCATCCTCCTTCCCTCTTACCCAACTTGCACCTATGTCCACTGTGATAAGAATGTAGTCGTTCTCAGAACGCGAGCGTCCATGCCTATGGGACATGGCAAACGTAAAATCCGTATTGCTTCAATCTGTCACCTCGACCGCGACTGATGGGATTACATTTCAATCAAGCATTATCGATGCCGAGCTTGACATGATGCGACTAGCTCTTATATTGGCTAAATCCCATCAGGCACCTTTTTTCAGAGCAAAGCTTCGAAAAAGTCAAAATATGCATACAGATTCTCATTATGCATATTGGCAAATGCAACTATATTCACAATTTGAGGCCAGATATTCCGTATGGATAAATATGATAGGACACTTGTACAAGATAGCTTCTAGGCACACTTCACATCCTTAATTAAAGACACTCCGATGCGAAGAATGTAAAGTTGCTATTGGAAAGGCCCCCGCAACAACCAGCCATTCGCGGCGGCCCGGAACCAACACCTGACACATTTATCTAAGGCGTTGGAGAAGGCAGAACTGAAACGCGCCATCAGATGACTATGACTCAGCCACTCGGGAGAGGAGTCACTGATAACGTCGCATTGTGAAGCATTATCTGTTGGTGAGCCCACATGTGAAAGATATCGGTCTGTGAGAAACGAACACTTTTTTTATGCTCCGACCATTACCTCACGAGCGCTCAAATTACTCAAAATAATTGAAAATACCGAGGACAGAAGTGATGTCATACCAGAATAAGGTCAACATCTTTTTGAGATCGGAAGAGCTTGATTATATTCAGTATCATTGGCATAAGTGGTTCACAATTCCGAAAGCAAATCACGCCTATCACATTCGGGATTCCAATATCATTCAATGCATGCATATCAGAGCATCCCTCATAAAAATGACGCATGTTATTCATGTTTGGATGATCTGTGCTGTGATGATCATTTTTTAACACTTTCGCTGCCATTCGACCCGCGGCGGGTCGTACGTTCTCTCTTCTCCTGGGTCATACGAGCCGCCGGCGGGTCGTACAGGTCCTGTCTACCAGATCATACGACCTGCCGACGGGTGGTTTGCATTGCTTTGCGGGATACGATCTATTGACCTCTTCCTTTCATCTTACGATTTTTATCGTCGCTTTCTGATGAGGTCAATTTTAAATCAAATTGGCGGTGTTTCATTTCTCATTTTTATTTTACAATGTATTCAATATAAGCGTTTATTCATACACAAAATTCAAAGCCTTTGGTGATGAAGGGTGTCGTGGCCTTAAATAAAATTTAAAGGGACAAAAAGTGTACAGATCAGATATTTTTTATATTTTGCCACAGCGATTCAATTGCAAATTATTTTTGCGATGGGAAGCCCTCTCAGTACTGTTGGAGGCCCCCACAGGTTGTTAAGTCTCAATTTATCTAACTGGATGAAAACTTATGTGATTGATAATGGCACCTTAAAGCATTCGATGTGACGGATTTGTTCGATTGAGATAATGGCAACATATGATATGGCCTTCACTCTCAAATACCTTCACGCTGATACTAACATGCATTACATGCATCATTTGCCAAAAAGGATAGGCACATGGAGATTAGAAAATGGCGGTGAAATTGGTGACATGCCCTATAAGTTAAAGGTGACATGTGAATTCTATGGTCGTTTTCTATGGTCCGAGGGTTTCGATGCTGCCGAAAGTTACAGAAGAATGAAGGCGCCTCTTGGTTGTTATCGGTGCAATGTATATAAGTATTTTGTCCAAGATTGCAGCCTACATAACAGTCATGTTTTCTAGGGTCGTCGACGTGGTGTGTCTGCCTTGTCACACTGTCTTTTCCCACTGGTTCTACTGTTATGGAACGTTTATACCCACTGGCGCAATTTCCGTTCGTTCATACACATTCCCCCATGCGGGGCCTTCACTCTTCCGTGATATTTGGAATCATCGAAATCCTCGAGCATAGAGAGCGAATGACAGATCGTTTTTCAATTTGTGTGAACGATTCAAATGGTGCCGCCATTATATTAGCTCTCGTGCGCTTATCCTCTAGAGGAAAATGATAAAATCAACGCATGCTAACCTCGATGAAAAACCGGAGCACCTAACCTCAAAAGAATTTCGTCGAAAATAGAAAGAAGCGTGAGAAATATTATATGTCCTTACTTTGTCATCCCCCCTCGTAAACGCACTAGAAGTGCGTGTAGTTCTATAGGAAGGAAGAAGCTAAAGAGGACTGAGAATATTTGTTTTCGTAGCATGAAAGGAAACCGAAAAGTATTCCAATGACGAGCAACAAAACACCATTTCAGTCCGGTCGTATATCCTGCTTTCCTCCCGTGCAATCTGAGAATGCTTGCATGAAAGTGAGAGACCTGTCAGCCTTTTCCGCATTCGGCGGAAGATAGATTCGAACTCAGTTTCACTGCATCGATTCCAAAGACATTTGTCTATGCAGAAGATCTCCCGCGCGATTCCCCTAGCATGTGGAAATCCCCGTCCCCTACGTAATCAGTGCATTGCAAATGAGGAAACCGAAGGTCAGAGTTCCTTGCTCATTCAATTCTCCTACATAAAAGAGAACCCCATTGCTTAAGCACCCACCCATTCCCTCTATACCGAATTCCGCGATGATGATCGACCTCTCTTTCCTACATTTCCTCTCGTCAGTGCTCGGGACAACTTGACACCCAACCCGACAGATCCGGCCTTGCAACAGAAGTTATCGATACCGTGGCGATGCCAATGTTGACTGTTCGCAAGCAAGGAGGGATGATGAGAACTCACATGCGTTGAAGTTGGAGTCTTGTCCCTACAGTCACATTTGGTGAGTAAGTGTCCTGTTCTGGGACGTTTCCTGCTCCTTCCGTCTTTAATTGTAAGCGTCTTAGTATGACCGTGAATGCAAGGGGCCCTGGTATAGTGGCAATAAAGCTAACACATGCAGGGGAATGTTGCATGTGCCGAATTTAATTGTAATATCTTTCGTGCACGAGGCATTTTTATTGTGGCGTTGTCGGGAGAGAATAAATAAGTTATCGTGTCAAATTTCCATTCTTTGCTTGAAATGCCTGTCTGCATATGAAGAAGCATCGATGGCTGTCATCGGCATGCTTCGTACCCATCCTGATGAACATTTCCAATAACATTTCAATATTAGTTTGTCACCGTCCACACTCTCTACGTTGGCATCGACCGTA